GGAGAGTGATAAAAGCGCACACGACCGGGGAAACCACAAGACCATCAAACTCCTAGATCCTTACCATTTATAAGGATACTGGGAGCAATAGGCGCCACTTTAACCCATGCCCGAAATCCAAAGGGCGACGGTTCCGAACAAGTGGACCAATCAGCTCCGAACCGTCAATTCGGTTCCCGAAATGAGTCTAGATTGAACAGTGCCCGCATGCAAATCTTGGGCTTGGCATTGAGGGCGTCAAGTGCCCTAGCTGGAATAGCACAGAATGGGGGTGGGCACGTGCGCTTAGGTAAGCGACTTGCAGGGAACCGCTCGTATCCCTTGGACTACTCGCACACTGCCTGTCGTTATCTTTCCTTCTACGTGGTGGGATTTGATATGTGGACAGTGATGTAACCGTTATCGACGTTGAGGCGAATACAAATGAGACAGCTAGCTCGACTGGGGGCGAGGTATAGGGGACTTTGTGCTGGCACGTATGCACAGTAAGTGATATCCTCTTGGAGAGACGAGGAGAAGATTTTATATCACACCAAACGGTTGAAAAGCATGGTGATTGGTTGAAAGTAGGAGTGAGTTGATCTTTTTATAGAATTTCCTCAAGTCATCAACCCCTGTCATCCCATAACGCAGCTACATCCTAGACAGACCAATTCATCGCGGTCTCACAGTATATACTTTCTGCCAGCAGCTACCAGTTAGCGAGTTTATAAACAGCCAATGGGGAGGCACCCTACCAGAAGGGGGACAACCGTATTCAAATGAGGTTGCATGCACCACTACGCATTCCACTTTGGACCTGTCCACATTTAAGCAGGGTCAGAAGCCATGATAAACGACGACTTTGCGCAGACTTGAGCATGCAGCGCAAAAGGGGGATCACGAAAGACCATTATAACAAATGGAAGCCAAAGACGAGATAAAGTTCAATAAAGTCCCGTGTATACCTCAAGCTAGCTCATAAACGACCACGCCACGCTGTTTCTCACTAGGGTATTCGCGATTCTTGCGCACCAAAAAATGCGCTGAAAACCTACTCTTCACTCCCATTCACTAGCAAAAGAATTCAAACTGGACACACCTATTCAATTTTCAATGACTCTTCACCTTGAAAGACACAACCTGGCTCGCGGCGTCCAAGGTGTATGGACACCACGGCTGATCACATCGCATAGGACCCGACCGGAATGTGCCTCATCCAAATGATCACCAAACTTGATTTTCGAAAAATTTCCCTGATGGCCGCTTTATCGCCGCGCTCAGGATATCGCGGTTGGCCGTCGTGCCTGACACCCACCACTTCTGCCACCCATTGACAGTTCTCGGTACGAGCAAACACACGCGCACCAAAAAATGCGCTGAAAACCTACTCTTCACTCCCATTCAACTCGCAGGGATACAATTTTCTTGTCGGTGATAGCCTCTACATACGGACGATAAAAGAGGGTCGATCCGAGTAATAATAATAACG